ATCGACAATTGGTTTCTGAATTGTAAAGGTTAATCCTACTATTTGATGGGATGATTGATTTCTAGTAGTCGGACTCAATACAATACTCAATTCACATCCGCAAGTTTCTAAGAATAATCTACATATAGAAAACACGATTATGGAAAAGACAATCTCATTGTATTTTTGTTCAACTGACATTTTTTAAGATTAAATTTGGATTTTAAGACGTATGGTGCATGCATGTATTTAAAAGTGTAAAGCACAGACAATGTACAATTCATTATTCTTATTATTTGATATGATTGTTTCTGTCTAACGATAATAAGGAGTCGTACCACGCATATATGCGCCATAAGTTAGTAATGAAATTATAGGCCAATTTAGCCAAAAAAAATTATAGGCCGAACAAAGCTTTTTTTGGTTGTTTTATATAACGATGGGAGATTAACTAGAGTAACCTACTTTTTTTTTGCTATAGTTATAATAATTTTATGTTTTTTTTATTGCTAAAATAACTTATCCTGATTTTTTTTTTTTCAGAATATCAAAATTGTCCTTCGCAGACTCTACCGAAATATTGGCAGATTCTACCGAGATATTGGTAAACTTTGTCGAGATATTGGTAGATTAGCAGACTGAGATATAAGTCTACTACTATTTTAGAAGAATTTTAAAGCGTCTACTAGAAAAACGCAGACTCTGCCGAAACATTAGTAGACTATGCCGATATATTGGCAGACTCTGCTGAGATATTGGCAGACTCTGAAACATTGGTAGACTCTATCGATGTATTGGTAGACTCTGCAAATATCTAGAAATATGCAGGCTCTGTCGAAACATCGGCAGACTCTGCCAAAATACTGGTAGACTCTGCCGAGATATGGGTAGACTCTACCTGTATCTAGAAAAATACAGAGTCTGCCGAAACATTAGTAGACTCTGCCGAGATATTCGCAGGCTCTGCCGAGATATTGGCAGAATCTACTAAAAATTGCAGACTCTGTCGAGGCATTGACAGACTATAATAAAGCATTGGCAGACTCTGCAAAAAAAAAAGTAGACTTTACCCAAAAGAATAATTATAATCTGCGAAGACATTGGCAGATTTCTGGAGTGTTTTGTATTTTGTTGATAATGGTTTTTAAATTTTGTGTTTATTTTCTTACTTGATTTTTTTTTTAAATTAAAACTATTTCTAGTATTACTTAGTTAATAAAGATATTTTTGGTATTATGAAAAAAAAAACGTAATATAGGTTATTTGGACAAATAAAAAAATAAAAAAGTTATCCTAGTAATTCTTTTTAAAAAGTAGGTTATTCGAGATAAATTTATCTTTTTTGTATAGGGAATACTTATCCTGATTAGAATTCAAACCGAAGCGACTTAACTCTGAAATACTACATTTTAACCATTAAAACACCATTAAACTTTTAATGCATATTTAAAATAAGATTACAAGTTTGTTAATGACAAAGACCAAAGTGGTAAGCAGACTAATGATGGTTATGATTTATGATAAGGAGTGAGATTAAATAAAAAGGCAAAGAGAGGTTATTGTGTTTCTCAACAACCCAACTCTCTTCCCCAGCTTCCATTAATCTTTGGATACTTAACGGTCATTCTTTAATTCGGATAAGGAATCTTAGGTGTCACAAGTCACAACTCATGTAATATTTATTACTCACTCCGTTTCGTAATAAATATTTCTTTTAAATTTAGTTTTTGTTTTACAGAATCTGATATCTTACGTATCCAATACAAAATATTAAATGCAATAAAGTTTAAATTAAATTATTTTAGTTTATTAATTAGAAAAATAATATGATGCAGGTATTAATAAAGAATATAATAGAAATTTTCCATACATTTTTGAATATCTGTGAAAGTTTTTAAAAC